TCCGAAAACTGCGCTCTTAACCATCTTTGCCCGATGAGCATGGTCCTCCGTCGCCGTGAGCACAAATTATAAGATTCCCGGAGATATCAGCCAGATCAAAACGCTAATCAGCTACATCAAGATCAGCCGAGAATCAATCCACCAGCACTATTAGATAGCATTTCGGCTACAATTCCACAATCCAGCATAGCAGCTAGCCAAGGAGTTCATACGTGGTCACCACACAGCAAAATTGAATTTGTATCAGCTACAACAAAACAACATAAAGCACATTAAAAAGGTACGTGGTTGTTTTGAAATATCACTGCACTTGTTTTTTTTGGTGTGAATTATTAAATTTAAAATATATACTAAAAGAATAGTGTCCGCGAGTGATCTTGTGAAAAAAAAAAAAAGTTACAGTCCACTAAAAGTTCTGTCTGTCCGCAAGCAGGCAAAGTAACCTCAATTAGTAAAAGCGCGCGAAAATTCATTTTGCATTTTAAGTTTCTGCAAGATAGAATAATATTCCCAATCGAATTAAAATCACATTTTTCAATTTGGAGTTTTAAATTAATTCACGGGAATTTACACATTTTCAGTTTTTTCTGAGTTCCGGATAAGTGGCACAAGTGTATCAAATTCGCATGGTAGCAGAGGCTTAACCTCAAAAAGTGCCATTTTCATCTTTTCGCCTTTTTCACAAAATCACTCACTAAGCATTAATTTAATATTGATTTTATTAAAAAACGATTTTGTATCCTAAAAACATACGTGTTATAAAAAACTATACACATACCGGGTGGCGACCAATACTTAAAGCAACCACAAGAGACATATGTACATACACAGGCACATATATTATTAAATAAAACGATTGTGCATACATATATGTACATACATACATAGATATTGAGTACCATAAATTTTGGGATTTTTACGAAGTTGTGGAGCTTAGGAGGCAAATTTTGTGATTTTTACAAATTGGGTGGCTTTTGGGCAATAATTTCAACTGTGTCATTCACTATAGTGGGTGTTTTCTTTGAGTTGCTTATTCTGAGGAAGAATCTTGAGAGATCTTATTAGGTTGTGGTTAAAACTTTAAAAATGGAAACATACATTCGCTTAGCTGACTCGGTTATTGAATTCGATATCGAATTTCTTGGCACACCCACAATTGAACACACCAAGCATTCGCTGAAAATTCAGCAAGAGGAGCTAAAGGTGATGTGGGAGAAAGCCAAAGCACTTTTTGATGACTTGCTGGCTACGGAATCAATTGGTGCTAAAGATCTAAGTTCGATACGTAAGAAAGGAAAAACGTGCTATGCAGCTTTTGTGCGATGTATGTCCAAAATAAACGATTTGTCGGAAAAATTTGAAAAATCCGAAAAGGAAGATGAGGACATGTCAGCCACACAGCATAATTTACACCTACCGCCTTGTGATATCGACGCATTCAAGGGCGATTATTTGTCATGGCCAACATTTCGTGACATGTTCACGGCTATATATATATTGAACAAGCGGCTGACACCCATTCAAAAGCTTTACTATCTTAGTCAGAAAACGCAGGGTGAAGCCAAAGAAATTGTTAAGAAATGCGACCTGACAAATGATGGGTTTAATATAGCCTGGAAGAATTTGTGCGATAGGTATGAGAATAAAAGGATCCTAGTTAACACCCAGTTGAAGATCCTCTTCAATCTACAGGCGGTGGAAACTGAATGCGGGAGTGCAATTAAAAGATTGCAAAGGGATATAAACAATTGCATATCTTCCCTGGAGAGTCATAAAATTGACATTTCAACCTGGGATCCAATAATTACATACCTTTGCTCCACAAAATTACCAGAAGAGACTCTTTCGCTGTGGGAGCAATCAGTGCAAAATAAAACAGATATTTCCAAGTGGGCTGACATGGACCAATTCTTGTCAAGCAGATTCCAAACTTTGGAATCGGTCTCGGGGTTGAGAGGAATCAAGGTTTCAAAAATTTCAAAAGGGTTAAGTCATAAGCATTCCTCTGAACCGCCACAAAAGAAACTTGGCACTTTTCAAACTAGTGTAAGCAAATTTACTTGCAAAATGTGTCAAAGTAATGATCACAGACTGCATATGTGCCAAAAATTCTTAAATATGTCGATATCTGATAGGATCGCTTTTATTAAAACCAACAATAGTTGTTTTAACTGCCTGTCCTTTGGGCATACGGTGTCGAAATGCACAAGTTCCTACAACTGTGCCAATTGCCATTCTCGACATCACACCCTACTTCATATACAGGCGGCTCCAGGTAAAACAACGACAAAGGAGAATACAGCCAATCCAGTTAACAATGGTGCATCGACATCCAGGCAGGCACAATTACGAAACCAATCTTCAAAGGGAAAAGGTAAAGCAGTCAGACATGTGCAAACACATCACGCGAATTCAAGCAAAGGCGTTTTACTTGGGACAGCTCGAGTAAATATTCATTTTAATGGTACTAACTTTGCGGCAAGAGCGTTAATTGACTCTGGCTCTGAGTGTTCCTTCATCACGGAGAGGCTCAGACGCAGAATCAACTTGCCAACCAAGAAGATGTTAGCACAGGTTTCGGGCATCAATAATTCTGTTTCAGCGCAGGTGAAAGAAGCGTGTTCGATTCAATTGCGGTCACCAATTGACCCACTTATTTCTATTGATGCCCTTGTGTTAGTTCTACCAAATCTGACAGGGAATTTGCCTACTTGTGATGTTAGCGCACTCACACAACAAGTTTTTCCTGATCTGGTTTTGGCAGATAAAAGGTTTTTTGTGAATGAACAAGTCGATCTGGTTCTTGGAGGAGACATATATCCTCAAATAATATTAGGTGGAATTAAGAAGAACGTTCTCAGTACTCTCTTAGCGCAAGAAACAGTATTCGGTTGGATACTGACTGGTCGTGCTGATGCAGCCAGCCCAACCAGCAATAATCGAGTTTCATTTTACAATGAGGTTGCCCTTGATAGACAGTTATGCTCATTCTGGGAACTGGAGGATTTGCCGAGAAACAGAGCACCAACAACCGAAGAAACACAGTGTGAGGAGCTCTACAAGCGTACAACCAAACGGAACCCAGACGGAAGGTATATCGTTTCGCTTCCATTCAAAGCGGAGTTCCCGGCTGATACCAAATTGGGGCCATCACTGCGTGCTCGCAATTCTACAAAAACGAGACACGTCTCAAGAAAAATCCAGATTTGCATGCGGAATACAACAGGGTCATACTAGAGTACGAGACAATGGGGCATATGTCGAAAATCAATGCACTTCAGTCGGCCGATGCAATCGACAATTACTATCTGCCTCATCATGCCGTGATAAAAGAAGAAAGTATATCAACAAAGGTTCGGGTGGTTTTTAATGCTTCGTCTTCTTCAGCGAATGGGGTCAGCTTGAACGATGTTCTTTTACCAGGGCCAGTTCTTCAAGCTGATTTACCAATTTTGATTCTCCGCTGGAGACTTTTTAGGTACGTCTTCAATAGCGATATTGAGAAGATGTACAGGCAAATTCTCGTGGATGCCAACCAGACGAAGTACCAGAGATTAGTCTTCCGTACGGGTCCAAACGAACCAATCGGTCTTTATGAATTAAAAACGGTTACTTTCGGTATAAACTGTGCGCCTTATCTGGCGATAAGGACATTACTGCAGCTAGCTAATGATTCAGAAAATTCCCATCCGATAGCTTCGAATATTTTACGGAAAAATATGTATGTCGATGATGTTCTTGCGGGCGGACATACTATAGACTCCACGTTACAGGCTAGGGATGAGGTTTCTACAGTTTTGAAATCAGCTGGATTCCCTTTGCGAAAATGGACCTCGAATTGTGACAAAATACTACAAGGCATACCAAAACCACATCTTTTAAGCGAAGATTTCTTAGAATTCGAGGACACTAGCAGTGTAAAAGCATTAGGTATCAGGTGGAATGCGCATTCCGACCAATTTTATTTCATAACCAAGACCATAGACGATAACATCACGCCAACAAAAAGAGCAATATTGTCAGCCATCGCCAAACTATTCGACCCTTTGGGTTGGCTAGCTCCAATAATAATAGTTGCAAAAATACTTATGCAGAATATATGGTTGGAGGGTACAAAGTGGGACGAAACGGTCTCCGTTCCAACCTTAGATAGGTGGCACAATTTCACAAAAAATTATAAAGAAATCGACAAAATAAGGATACCGCGGTGGGTATCTTTTTCACCAAAGGAAAAAGTCGAAATTCACGGATTCTGCGATGCTTCTGAAAAGGCATACGCGGCCGCAGTCTACCTACGTGTCGAAAGAGACGAGAAAATACTTGTCAACCTCCTGTTAGCGAAAACTCGAGTAGCCCCAGTGAAAACAATTTCATTGCCTAGATTGGAACTTTGCGGGGCGGTATTACTAGCCGAAATAGTCGAATCTATTACAAATAGCCTGGAATTAGGCCACCTAAACATACATCTTTGGACAGATTCGACGATTGTTTTGGCATGGATACGCAAGCCCCCATGTTCGTGGTCAACATTCGTTGCCCATCGAGTTACTAAAATAATAGACAAGGTAGGGAATTCTAACTGGTTGCACGTCGACTCTGCCACAAATCCAGCAGACTTAGCAAGCAGGGGCATATTGGCGCATGAATTGGTACAAAATTCGTTGTGGTGGCAAGGACCTTCTTGGCTGCAAGAAAATAGAGAAAATTGGCCATTACAAGAGATAGACTTCACTACTAATATTGAGGAAAAACGGTTGCACGTTCATTCAACAATAACGTCAAACCAACTTAGTGACATTCTTGAGCGGTTTTCAAGTTTACCGAAAGCTTTGAGGGTGCTCTCGTATGTATTGAGATTCCTTCAAAGAACCAGTCCGAAGACAAAAGCTTCTTTTCAGGCGAACTCTTCTTTAATTTCGTCAAACGAAATTAAAACAACGACTATACGTCTGATAAAACTCGCTCAGAAGCAACATTACGGAGCAGAAATCGCTAAACTTAAAGCTAGAGAATCCATTGAGTCAAAAAGTGAAATCCTTCCTCTAAATCCGTTGCTTGATAAAGATGATTTGCTGAGAACTGGGGGTCGTCTTGGTGCATCTCTTGATCTGGCATATAGTGAACGGCATCCAGTCATACTCCCATACAGCTGCAGGTTATCGCGCCTAATAGTCCAATTTGTACACGAAGTCTCTCTCCATGGTGAAAACCAACTCATGTTGCGTCTCATCCGAACCCAATACTGGATTCCAAAGGTGAAAACACT